ATATCTACTAAGACAATATACACATACACAGAGAGAGAGATACAGACAGACAGAAAGACAGAGACAGAGAGAGAAAGAGCTCCTTCATACCAATAGGATCAGTTTATAAACCAATTTTAATTTACTAAATGAACATTTCTTAAAACTCAAATTTTATTGACTGAGTAGAAAAATGGAAAAAAATATGAATGGATGCTTGTGTTAACCAAATTGCTGTTAATGCAACAAAGACTTGAGATAGTCAACTGATAAACTATAAAATATTTATTTGGATCAGAGTTTTAAGGCTTTCATACATGATAGGTTTGGCCTGGTTTTGGGTTGTTTGTTTTGTTTCATGTGTGGTGACACATCATGGCTACAGCAAAATCAATCACCTCACCCTGTGGAAAAGCAAAAGAAATGGAAAGACTGTAGTCCCTTATGGTCTTCGAGAATGTCTCCAGGGAGTTAAGATATCTCACTAGTTCCTGCTAATTAATGCTTCCACCACTTTCTAACACCACTATTCTGTGAACCAAGCTTTTAACTCATCAGATTTAGGAGAACATTTAAGATACAATCTAACCCTGGCGGTCGTGGCACACATCTTTAAACCTAGCACTTGGGAGGCAGAGCCAGGTGGATCTCTGAGTTCAAAGTAGCCTGGTCTACAGAGTAAGTTCCAGGACAACCAGGACTGTTACACAGAGAAAGCCTGTCTCAAAAAAAAAAAAAAAAAAAAAAAAAAAAAAAAAAAAAAAAAAAAAGAAAGAAAGAAAAAAAGAAAAAAAAAGAAAAGAAAAAACAAAAAAACAAACAAAAATAAAAACCTCTCAACAACAAAACCAAGATTCAAACTACAACCATAACTAACCACCCATAGACTTCCAGAGATTGGATAGGAAATTATTGACCTATGGTAGGCTAGTCCACAAACCACATCAAAGTAAATAACTGTGGAGTGAGGTTTAAAATAAAACAAAAACAGATATGGCCCATGTTGAAACTAGGTAGCTGTGTGTTGATGGAAACCCTCAGATACTTCCCAGATGCAAACCAGATGAGCAATCTTGGGTGAGGACTCTGGGGTGGCTTCAAGCCCAAGTCCACCCCCCATAGCCTGCCCCCAGAGGCTCTGTGCTAATAGCCCTAAGGACAACAAATGGTTCTCTGTGACCACAACCGGTGCTGGCTGGCAGGTACATGGGATTCAGAAGTGTTATGCCGGGGGAAGCATCAAATTACTTACTTGAACGGGAAGCTGACACCTCTGGCGTGCAACTTGGCAATGGCCCAGAAGGAAGATGGATATTGTACATGGCTTTTCTGTGCCAAAGCTTTTAGTGTGAGGAAGGGTCACTGGGACCCAGTGAAGATTCCAAACAGATATGATACTGGACAGGACCCGGAACCATTAAGATGGGCATAGGAGGTGGCTTGGTACTTGACGGGACTCAACCTTTGGGGTTTCGGTGGGTTTAATCTCCAGTAAATCACATGGGTTGAGAATCTGGAAGAAGTGACTTCCTGAAGGCACATATCTTAGGCTAGGATATGCTGACCCTGATGGTCAGCAGGGGCGGTAATGGTACCCTCCAGAGAGATGGGTGGAATACAGTCATCTCTCTCCCGGCCTTTTCCTTCAGTGCTTCCATATTTGATCTAGCCTAGATAAATGATGTTTCTCTAGTCTGGAGGAGGAGCTGAAAAGTCGTATTTTTGCACACCTCCCTCAGGGCGTTTTGTTGGGCAGTATCGTTAAAAACCTTAATTCAGCCAGGTGGTGGTGCATGCCTTTGATCCCAGAGACAGAGTTCGAGGCCAGCCTGGTCTACAGAGTGAGTTCCAGGATAGCCAGAGCTACACAGAGGAACCCTCTTTTGAAAGCAAGCAAGCAAGCAAGCAAACAAGTAAATGAAAATATCCAGTTTATAAAGTTAGGAGTGCTTTCAAGCAAAGGAGGTCAGCATGAAAGATTGTCTTGCGAGTCGGGGTCATGAACTCAGTTGTAGAGTGTTTCCAGATCCTGGAATTGATCCTCATATCTCAAAATAATAATAAATAAGTAATAAATCGTCCTTAGCAAAGTGAGGTAGCGAGTTGGCTAGCTTTATCTCAACTTCAGGTAGACTTGTGTCATCGGCGAGGCGGGAACCTCAACTGAGGAAACGCCTCCATAAGATAAGGCAGTAGTTGAGCCTGTACGGCACTTTCTTAATCAGTCTTTGATGGGGGAGGGCCCAGGCCAATGTGGGTGGTGCCAACTGTGGGCTGGGAGTCCTGGGTTCTATAAGAAACCCAGCTGAGCAAGCCATGGGGACCAAACCAGTAAGCAGCACCCCTCTGTGGTGCAGGTTCCTGCCTTGTTTGAGTTCCTGTCCTGACTTCCTTTGATAATGAACTGTAATGTAGAAGTGTTAGCCAAATAAATCCTTTCCTCCCGAGTTGCTTTTGGTCACAGTGGTAGTAACCCTATTATCTTGGGCTTATGATAAGACCTTATCTTGGGTGGAAGTGGGGAGAGAATTTTCCTATTTTGGAACTTGGAAGAGGAAAGTGGAAACTAACAACTTACTTCAAAGCCCATTCCCCACTTGCCTTTAATGCTGAACAAATTAAGAGGCAAATACAGATGACTTTTATGCAGACAAGGTATTGAAGCAATTAGCAGGCCCATTAGGGCCCTCCACGTGAGCTACTCACTGATGCCTTCTTCAGGGAGTAGGCCCTTTGTTACTGTGGGCAGGGGGTTGCTCAGCTCTGACTTGACTTTTAGAAATCCCCATCCTGCTTAAGATTAGACAAGAAAACTATGGCCTGAAGGGGGCCCAGCATCAAGTGGGGGAACTAGAGATTCCTTAAAAGTCTGCTGGAACTCCTGCATATGAGAATGTAGGGCACGCAGGAGTTAGATTAGCTATAAAGTTGAGGGAAGAGGGGGATGGGCAGGATTAGCCGGTCTTTAAAGCCTGGCCTCTGCAAATGATCCCAGGGTGCTGGTCAGTGCATGGCTATTTATTGCCATGTTTTCAATCTCCGTGGTCCGTGTTGTACCTCTTCCGTAGCCTGGACCCTATTTGTGTGTGTGTTTGTGTTACGTACCCAATACTTTATAGACTCAAGTGTTTCAAGTAGTCTGCTATTCACACGAATTTTCTTAAGTTTGCAGAACATCTTGCTCCAAGCCCTTGGAAAGCAGAACAGGTTCTCGACTGCGTGTGGAGATCTTTGGAGAGGCTGTAGGATGTGAAGAACAACTTCTAAATAGAAGACAGGGCGAGTGTGGTACCCGGCACAGAGCTGGTTCATAGGGCTAAAGGGCCGCAGTGGGACCAGACGAGGCTACTAGGGTCAGACAAATTGTCAACAGTCGATGACCCCACAAGTCAAATCAAACAACCTCTCAAGAAAAGTCTGAGATGTGGTGCCGGTCAGTGCACTAGCTAAGAGGAAATTACAGCCATATAATCTGGCTTCAGAAACAAACAAAAAATAAGAACAATAGTGCAGTCCTCTCTACCATTTTAACAGAGAAGGAAATAAGAGAAAAATGACAGTGAAGAAACACGTGCTCATATGTGAGCTAGGCAGACTTTTTCTGGTCTATGAAATAGAGGTCATATAACATATATAACACTTTTGAACACCAAGCACATGTAATTCACATGCATTGTAGAGCTTTACAAGATAGCATGGCTGGGTGTGTGGGGGCACACTTCTAACCCAAGCGCGCAGGAGGCAGAGGCAGGTGGCTCTCTGTGAGTTTGAGGCCCACTTGGTCTATGTACTTTTAAGTTCCAGGCCAGCCAGGGCTGCAAAGTGAGACCCTGTCTAAAAAAAAAAAAAAAAAAAAAAAAATCAAACAAAAAGGATGAAAATTTACAATAGCCCTTGATGATATTTTATAAATCTCAAAGGAATTAAGACAATTTCTGGAGGTTGTAGCGCCTAAGTGGAGGGCTGGATTAGAACGCAGACCCAAGTGAGTCTGAAACTCATAGGAGTCTCTGCCTCCTTTAAGAGGACAATTTCTGAGCTATTTGTGAAGGAATCAGTTAGGTTTCTTCTTCGCTGCTCACTTTCCTAAAGGAGAAGTCTGACCAGTGTGTCTCTTATTCGGTATCATAAGTACCCTGGACCCCAGAGGTCAGTCCATGTCAGGAGGGATACCTGTAAACCAAGGTAAGAAAGAGACCAAACTCCCTCCAGGGACTGTTGTGGAGCAGAAGTGGACTTGAGAGCACTAAGAAATCTGTGTGCGGCTCTGGGATGCATCTGGACCATTCTCAAGGTCCCTCATTTCCCCCTAAGAGTCCTTAGAAGTGGGACTTGTGCATCTCGCTGGGAGCCTCCTGGCTGAGGACACAGGGATGGGAAGGTAGGCTTCTCTGAGGGGCTGCTCTCGGTGAGTGGAATAGGGGGAAGGTAAGGGGCGCTGCCCTGGAGGAAGATCCAGCCGCAGAGGCAGCTTCTAGCAGCCACCTGCCTGGTTGAGATGGAAACGCCGATTCCAGCTCCAGCCCCCAGACAGGCTAAGAATATCTCAGCCTCTCAGCCGAGCAACAGCCACCACCCCCGCCCTTCTTGATCTGCTCATGCATCTGTAGTGCTATCCTGGGAGCAGCGAGGAGATTGAGTGGGGGGGGGGGGATGCTTGGGGTGCAAGGCAAAGGAGGGAAGGCTAAGAAGGGGCTTGGTTGGAGGCAGGAGGTGAACTAAGAGAAAATTGCTGGGTAGAGCTTTGAAGACTAGGAAGCCGAGGGAAGGTCAAGACAGGAACCAGGCGGTGGGGGTTAGCAATGGGGATGAGAATGAGAGAGGCCAGCGTAGGTAATAAGGAGGAGGACGTGACTCCCTCTTCCATCACGGAAAGACCGGAGTTCATGGCAGGGCAATGGAGCTTACACTTACCTGCACTCTTTTCTGTTCCCTCTCTGCATCCTCCACTAGCTCAGCATTGGTCCTTTCTCTACCCCAGAGCACTGCATTCCTTTTCCATGTTCTCAATTCTATTCCCCATGTTAAGAGACCTTTGTGTGGGCTCCTTAATCAAGTCCTTCTACCAGCCTTCTATGAAGGACAGAGGTGAGAATGGGGAGCTCCTGGCAGCTAGCACCCCTCTCCTGTCATTTCCTGTCCTCCCCAGGCATGCCCCCTCTCACTCTGCTTTGTTAGTTTAGGAGGGGTTCACCTCCCTACGGCTTTGAACCTTGACAACTCAGGTCTCCTGAGGTAAGCCCTTAAGAGAGGGAGGGAGAGAGGGAGGGCAGGAGGAGGGAGGACTAGGCTGGTTCACCTTCTCTCAGCACACCTCAGGATCAGAGAGCCTGAGTGGAGCTGAAGGATCTTATGGGAGCTGGGGGCAGCAGGCTCCAAGCATTCAGATGCCTAGGCTGCATCTCCACCCTGCCTGTTTTAAGAACCTGTGCAAGCCTCCTTGTAAGAGACCTTCAAAGATGTGTGGGCACAACACGTGGGGTCTGGGATCTCCGGGTTTGATGTTTACTGGGGAGACCCTGAATCTCCCTCGGCTTGGGCCTCCTTTCCTGTGCTAGCCTCCCTTCCAGGGTCTCCGGTAGAGCTCCTAGGGACAGAGGGATAATTTGCATTGCTAATAGCTCCAGCTCCTCTTGCCTTGTCTCCCAGGCTGAACTGCAGACACACAGGCCTCACATGGATGCTGTGCACACAAAGCCTGAGCCCAGCAGACAGAAACAGATTAGGGGGAAGCTGGAGCTAGAGAGACAAGCAGATTCTTAGGCTGCATTTGATTCGGAATCAGAGCTGTAGGATTGAAGAAGCTGTCGGAACTCTTTCTGTGCGATTCCTAAAATACTATCTTATTCTTCTAATAGTGATTTCTTATCTGATAATAAAAGTAAAACATGCCGAATCCCCGAATTTTATCATGAAGAATCAGAGGCTCAGAGAGACAGAATGACTTCTCCAAGGTCATGTAAATAGCACGCTCTGGGCTGTACCTCCCAGCTCCTGTCTTTTAGACTAAATCCTGAGAGAGGGAGAAGGGAAGGTTAGCTAAATGGATAAGGAGTTTGCATTGCATGGCTTGGAGACATTCCTAGCTCACCTGCCCAGGGAGGGGAGTGAGGGGCTTTTCTAAGGTAAATTGGTGGGGACCTTCATCAATAAGTCCTGGACCTCGTAGCTCCTGGTCTGGTCTGGACCCGCTGCCATAGCCTTGGCATCTGAAGAGTGTTAGAGCCAACCAGGGAGCCTGTTCTCAGCATGGTTCCAGAGGCCATACAGGAAATGGTCAGATGAGAAACAACATCCAGAAACTAACACAATTAATGAATCCTACATAGGCTCTAAGCATAATCCAACCAGGACAACAGTTACAGATGTGGCAAGAAAGTCATTGACCTTCTCTAAAATCTCCCTCCTCTATGAAGTCTCTCTGGTTCCACTATCTTTCTCCCGCTGGACCTCCACCCTGTGTAATGTGCTTCTCTTTCACGCCTCATTGCCTCTAGCTTACTCTTTCAATCAGTTCAGAAAAGCTTCCTGCAGGAGATGGGAGTTCAAGAGCTTGATAGATGGCAATATGGTATCCTGAGAGAGTGTTATGGACCATATCACGTGCTCAGCGACCCTGGAGGATAGTCAGGGCAGGAAAGAGGAGTGCCTGCAAGCCAGAAAGAGAGTTTCAGATGGGGTAAGGGATATGAGAGTCTCAGAAGCACATGATCTGGTGACCCTGAAACAAGAAAGAGTTCTTGATTCTGACAAACAGGATAACAGACGGCCACAGCTGGACCTGGAGTAGGGATACCAACATGTGACACCCGTGGTGCAGAGCCCTTGTCCTAAATGGTACCGGCAACAGTCCTCATGTCAATGAGAGACTGCTGGGAGCTAGGACCCACGTGCCGTTCAGATCCACATGCTATGTTTCAGCCAGCACAGCTCAGTCTCAGTGGGGCCTGTCCTTAAATACTAAGTGAGCCAACTGTTCCTTGGGTGTCAAATAAAGGCTGACTCAGAAGGCCTTGCAGGAGTAAGGGGGGCCCGTTATAGGAGCCACAAAGAGGGAACATTTCCCCATAGCTATGGAGAGAATGAGAAGTTGGGCAGAGCAACGAAGGCCACAAGAGAATAAAGATCAGATTCCAGGGCACAGAAAGACCCCACTGAGAAAGAGCGCATTGGGACTGGTGAGATGGCTGAGCCGGGCAAAATCACTACAGCCAAGCCTAAGGGTCTGAGTTTGGTCCCCACAATCTGTACAGTGGGAGGCAAAAACTGACTCCCCAAAGTTGTCTTTTGACCTCCAAACGTGCTGTGACAAGCATGTGGACCTCCTCCACAGTGAACAATAGAGAAAGGAAGGAAGGAAGGAAGGAAGGAAGGAAGGAAGGAAGGAAGGAAAGAAGGAAGAAGCCAAGTCTGTATGTGACCATGGTTGTAGTGAAGGGAGATTTGAGGAAGCCAGCCTCAGCTTCTGGGGGGGCGGTGGCGTGCTGAGCAGTGGTTGTGAGAACCACTTTTTCAGGGAAAAGCTGAAGCCAAGGGGACTCTGCAATAGCCTCTCTATAAGGAAACACGCACAGAGAGAGGACCGCGGATACACATTGATCCCGACAGCAATGAGTCTCTGGTGCTGTGCTGGCCTACTGGAAATGGAGGCAGGCCTGATGCGCCTTAGAGAGAGAAATTCAAGAACAATTCTGAGAAATCGACAGGCAGGCACTTCTCTGTTCACCAAACCCATCCCCATGCCAGTATCCAAGATACACCTAAGAAACTGGGAGACTCCTGGCGTGGAATCCACAGCATGGCTGGGAGAGAAGGGTCCTACAAGGTACACTGAACAGGTCCACAAGGGGTGCTCACAACCTGCAGATAAGGCTGAAAGAGTCCAAAGTCTAGGACAAAAGCCTATGGGCACTGTGGAGAGGATGGGAGGATCCGGAGAAATCGGCAGGACCCGGTCTAGCAGCTAGCTAGCATCTGGGAATGGGCTCAGCTGGGACCTGAGCAGAACAACGCTGTTTAATGATTAAATCCACCTCAACTTGGACCCAGGTCTTGGCTGGAAGTTGAGCCAACCCTCCTGGGCCTATTACCACACAGAAGGCCCCATTTGCTGTCCTAGCCTGCGGTCATCAACTGATCCAGTTTCCAGAGGTCCCTAGAGTTCAACCATCTATCACCCACCCCAGGGTGAGATCAATATGTTGGTGGGACAACCAATCAAAAAGGAGCTATCCAGGGGTCAGGAGCAGATGCAGGGAATCATACAGAAGCATTAGGGACTTATCTTGAGACTCCCTGCTCCCGCCTCCCCCCCCCCCCCCAATCAAAGACTTCTCTTGCAAAGGAGGAAGGGTGGGATTGCTCAAAGTCCCATCCACTAGCATTCTCTCACAGAGCAGGGATGTGCTGGGGGATGGGGAGGCGACGAAGAGGAAAGTAACTGGACGTCCAGATTGGAGAAGCCAGCAGGTACGGCTGGGGTGTCTCGACGAGGGCACTCACAGCCATATTGCCTAATAAACAAACTCAAAGGTGGGCAAATGGAAGGCTGTTCCCATGGCTTCTGTACTGCGGCTTGGACCCAGTGTATCAAAACACATTCAGACCCACGGTCTTAGGACCTGGAGGAAGAGATGGAAACAGCTATTTCCATCTCATTTCAATCCCCCCGCCGCCCCCGCACCGCTCAGGCAGAGAAAGAGACCCCAGAATCACACCCCCCCCCCTCCCCTTTCCTCTTTCCTCATTTTCCCCTTTCCCCTTTTGGGTAAAGGTAAGGGACCGAAGACTCCGGGTGGTGGGTAAGGCGGGACTTTAGATTAACATGCGGTATTCCATTGGTCAGAAAAACTGCCGATCAAAAACATCTTGAGTGAGGATTGGCTGCGTGAGGCGGGCGCGGCGTGGCGAAAGAAGGGGCCCAAGGGGTGGGGCTGACTCTGCAGCTGGCGCAGCTTCGGCTCAGAGCAGCCGCCGCGGCGCAGCAGAGCGGCTCCTTCCCCCGCCCGTCCGCGCG